TCATCACTGCAACAGAGCCACAAATAAAGATATTTCTTCACTTGAATTGGCTGCATTCCAAACAGCTGGTCAACCACCACCAACTGGTGAAATCCAAAGCAGCAGCTGATGTATCCATTGACATTCTCAGGATGAAATGCATCTGGACCCCTGTGTGTGATCTTCATAGCACTCGGATGATGACCAGAGAGGCAATCATTGTTGCCAAAGAGGGCCCAAATGCCACACATGCTACAGTGGAGCTGTGGGCTCTGTGGGTGTGTGAGCAGAGGCCAGGGCTGTGGGCTATTTCCATTGTTTACTTTCAGTACAAGCATCTCTGCATATATCTCTATTCCTTGCTTCTTAGATAAATAGTAGCAAACTGTACACATTTTTCTATACCACGATTTTTTTCTCTGAGCAATATATCCTGGAAATCACTGGACAGTTATATATAGAGATTTTCCGCAATTCTTTTTATAGGTATCTAGTACCCTGTTGTGTGGATGTTCTGGTACATTTTAAGCAAGAACAGGTGTACTAGGAAAGATTTAAAGCATGAGAAACCTGGAAGAAGAAGTCTTTTATTTTAGCCAAGCTGTGGGTAACTCAAGGGTGGCAAAAGAGGCTGAGGAGTCAACAGAGAAGATGGCTGAACAATCACACAAGATTGCTGCCAGCCCTACTTCATAAGCCTCATTGTTCTCTAAGGTGAAGCAAAGTTGGAAGGACTTGAGGAAAGAAATACGCTGTTTCCTTTTCCCCTATTCTTCCCTGTTTTTCCTACTATTAATCTGGACGGTCTCAAAGCGAAGCCTGGAGTAAGCCTGAGTATAGCTATCTCATAAGGTAAAGTGCCCTGATGGATATCAGGGAAATCCTGCATTTTGTAGTCTGATCAAAATGTTTCTCCTCTGACTCCTGGAATCAGCTTACTGGGGAGATGAGGTGTGCCCATCAGAGGTCTCTGAATTGAGTCAAAAAACAATTTAACTCCAAAATCCTATTATATACTGTATCCCCAAATCCACCCTCCAAGCTATTTCCCATCCTGCATTATGCTTAGCCATATTGTACAATAAAGCTTCCTAAAGACAGTGTTTCAATGAGTACTACATAATATCATAGCCAGTAATATAAATATATGTAAAATCCTCAGTGGAGTGAACAAGAATCAGGGCAAGTAGAATGTAGATGTTTGGGCTGGGCACCATGGCTCATGCCTGTAATCCCAGTACTTTGGGGGGGCCTAGATGAGCGGATCACCTGAGGTCAGGAGTTCAAGACCAGCCTGGCCAACATGGTGAAACCCCGTCTCTACTAAAAATACAAAAATTAGCCGAGCATGGCAGCACACGCCTGTAATCCCAGCTACTTGGGAGGCTGAGACAGGAGAATTGCTTGAACCTGGGAGGTGAAGGTTGCAGTGAGCCAAGATCACGCCATTGCACTTCATTCTGGGCAACAGAGCAAGACTTCATCTCAAAAAAAAAAAAAAAAAAAAAAAAAAAAAAAGAAGAAGAATGTAGATGTTTGCTCTTTGGCAGCCCCCTTTCTCACCTCTCCTCAAAGAGAAGAGTAGCCATGACTGGTGATATTCAGCTGACCTGGTTTCATAGAAGATAGGACTATAGTTTCAAAGATTACACATGAAGCCTGTATGAGAAACTTTTTGAAATAGTCCTGAAAAATAACAAAAATAGAACAAAATAGAACAAAAATAGAACCACATTCCTTGTCTTGAATAGAACCAATCAACATAATAAAGTTCATTTATAAATTTAATATAATCCCAATAAAAATGCCAGCAAAATTTTTCCTGGCACAGAATCTTAATCTTCATATGGAAAAATAAATAAGCAAGAACACTTATGAACATCTTCAAAAGCAAGTGCAATAAAAGGGACTGGTTGTCTTACCATGTATTAAAACCTTCTATAAAGATCTGATAATTAAAACAGTGTGGTGTTGGTTCCTGGCTAGACATACAAACCAGTAGGAATAGTTTGAAGTACACAGGGAAATTTAGCATATGACAAAGGCGGAATCTGAAATTACTGGGGAAAAGATTAACTTTTTTATTTTTTGAGATGGAGTCTTGCTCTGTCACCCAGGCTGGAGTGCAGTGGTGCAATCTTGGCTTACTGCAACCTCTGCCTCCCGGGTTCAAGCAATTCTCTCACCTCAGCCTCCTGAATAGCTGGAACTACAGGTGTGTGCCACCACGCCCAACTAATTTTTTGTATTTTTAGTAGAGATGGGGTTTCACCATATTGGCCAGGCTGGTCTCGAGCTACTGACTTCAAGTGATCTACCCGCCTTGGCTTCCCAAAGTGCTGGGATTACAGGTATGAGCCACCACTCCAGGTCAGAAAAGATTCACTTTTAAATAATGGCATTAGCATAACTGGAGTGTTTATGTCCCTAATTTACATTAGGACTGAGCGCAGTGGCTCAGGCCTGTAATCCCAGCTACTTGGGAGGCTGAGGCAGGAGAATCACTTGATCCCAGGAGATTGTGTAGATTGTGCCATTTTACTCCAGTCTGGGTGACAAGAGTAAAACTCCGTCTAGAAAAAAAAAAATAAAAGACGGGCACCAGTGGCTCATACCTGTAATCTCAGCACTTTGGGAGGCCAAGGCAGGTGAATCACGAGGTCAGGAGTTTGAGACCAGCCTGGCCAACCTGATGGAACCTCATCTCTCCTAAAAATACAAAAATTAGCTGGGCATGGTGGTGCATACCTGTAATCCCAGTTACTTGGGAGGCTGAGACAGGAGAATTGCTTGAACCCAGGAGGCGGAGGTTGCAGTGAGCCGAGATTCAACCATTGCACCCCAGCCTGGGCAACAAGAATGAAATTTCATCTCAAAAATAAATAAATAAATAAATTTACATTAGAATATACTTCAAACAGATCCCTTATTTCAGTGTACAAAAAAATGAAAACATAACAGGTTCAATAAGAAAACATATATGAATTTCTTTTCAATCTAGACAAAGGAAAGCCATCCTAATTATAACTCAAATTCCAGAAGCCATGGAGAAAGATTGATAAATTCAAGTCTATCCATTTATATCTACAGCTGTATCCATATATGCACAAACATATATATATATATACATATATATATATATATATATATATATTTATATACACACACATATATGCATAGACTTTTTTTTTTGAGACAAAGGCTGGAGTGCAGGGATGCAATCTCAGCTCACTGCAACCTCTTCCTTCCATGTTCAGGGAATTCTCCTGCCTCAGCCTCTTAAATAGCTGGGATTACAGGCGCATGCCACCACACCTGGCTAATTTTCTTATTTTTAGTAGAGACGGAGTTTCACCATGTTGGCCAGGTTGGTCTCGAACTCCTGACCTCAGGTGATCTGTCCACCTTGGCCTCCCAAAGTGCTGGGATTACAGGTGTGAGCCAATACACCTGGCCGATATATGCATAGAGTTTTGCTTGGCAAAAACATCATAAACAAAATCAAAAGAGATGAAAAACTGGGAGAAAATTTGTAGTTTAAATTACACAAAATAGCTAATTTCCATCATAGATAAATAACTAAAAAAACAAAGAGTATTGATACATGATACGTGGAAGAAACTTCAAAATATTATGCTAAGTGTAAGAGTCACAAAAGACTGCTTATTGTATGATACCATTTATATGAAATGTACAGAATAGCTGGGCACGGTGGCTCATGCCTGTAATCCCAAGACTTTGGAAGGCTGAGGTGGGTGAATCACAAGGTCAGGAGTTTGAGACCAGCCTGGCCAACCTGGTGAAACCCTGTCTCTCCTGAAAATACAAAAAATTAGCTGGGTGTGGTGGCAGGTGCCTGTAATCCCAGCTACTCGGGAGGGTCAGGCAGGAGAATCACTTGAACCCGGGAGACAGAGATTGTAGTGAGCCTAGATTGTGCCACTGCACTCCAGCCTGGCAACAGTGAGAGACACTGTCTCAAAAAAAAAAAAAAAAAAAAGAAAAGAAAAGAAAAAGAAATGTTCAGAATAGACACACCTATAGAGATAGAGTAGATTAGTGGTCACATAGGGCTGGGTGGGGTGGGAGGGAGGGCCAGGAATGGAGTTGACTACTAAGAGGTAAGGGGCTTCTTTCTGGAGTGTTAAAAATGTTCCAAAATTATACTATAGCAATGGTTGCACAGCTCCATAAATATACTAAAACCCATTGAATTGTATACTTTAAATGGGTGAACTTAATGGTATATATAATATATCTCAATAAAGCTGTTTAAGTATAAAAGATTTTACTGTTTCAGAGGCCAGGTGCAGTGGCTCACACCTGTAATCCCAGCACTTTGGGAGGCCGAGGTAGGTGGATCACTCGAGGTCAGGAGTTTGAAACCAGCCTGGCCAACATAGTGAAACTCTGTTTTTACTAAAAATACAAAAGTTAGCCGGGCATGGTGGTGGGTGCCTTTAGTCCCAGCTACTCAGGAGGCTAAGACAGGAGAATCGCTTGAACCTTGGAGGCGGAGGTTGCAGTGAATGGAGATCACACTACTGCACTCCAACCTGGGCGACAGAGAGAGACTCTGTTTCAAAAAAAAAAGTTTTTGAAGTAAAAAACCTAGTAGGAAAATGGCCAAAAGTCTTAAGAGACAGTTCACAGAAGATGAAAGGCAAATGTCTGTGAAGTGCTTGGAAAAATAGCACCATTTCTTATAATCAAAGAAATGCAAATTAAAATATGGTCAGCCCTCAGCATCCATGGATTCCACATTTGTAAATTCAATCAACCGTGGATAGAAGTGACAGTCATGTATTGCTTAATGATGGGGAAACATACTCAAAAATGTGTTGTTAGGTGAGTTTGCCATTGTGCAAACATCATAGAGTGTACTTACCCAAACCTAGATGGCATAGCTTACCACACACATAGGCTATATGGTATAGCCACCATTGTATATGTAGTCAGTTGTTGACTAAAACGTCCTTATGAGTGCATGACTGTATTTGGAAAAAAAACTGTGTTTGTACTGAATACGTACAGACTTTTTTTACTTATCAGTATTCCCTAAATAATAGAGTATATCAGCGATTACATGGCATTTAGATTGTATTAAGTATTATAAGTAATCTACTGGAGTATGTGCATAGGTTATGTGCAAACACTACCATATTTTGCATAAGGAACTTGAGCATTTATGGATTTCGGTATTCACAGGAGGTACTGGGCAGCGTATACTCAAATATTATTCTTCCCTTTTCAGTTTGGCAGTGTTGGAAGACAGTCTCTCATGGTGTTTCCATACGTCTTTTGACAGCTTCTCTTCTCAATGTCTTTTGTGTTGCAAACATCTTGGAAGGACAAAGGGTAGATTTGTTACCTAAGATGAAAAAACAACATATTCCTCCAGGACAAAGGTTATGCAGGTTTTTTAGCAGCTCCTTATAAGGCTGGGGGTTTCCTAATCTCAGTGTTCTTCTGCTGTGACATAAGCCCACCAGGAAAAGGCATCCACCTTGCAAGGAGGGCAAAAATCTCAGACCCCTCACAGTTCTCAGGCAGAAGTCCAAAAGCTTGACAACATACTCTGTTGGTAAGCCTGGGGAGAAACAGGTATTTCCACCCACTGCTGGTGGGATTGCAAAATGGCACAACTCCCCTGGAGGGAAATCTGGCAATAATTAACAAAATTACATGTTCTTCTACCCTTTGATTCAGTGACTCTTCTAAACCAATACAACTACCCATGAATAGGAGACTGGTTGAATAAACTAGGGCACATTTACACATACACACACATACTTATGCATATGTATATGTACTTTTTTAAAAAAAAATAATAAACAAGAAATTGTTGAAAATGGAGTAACTTAAGCATATCCTAAGAGTGACAGTTAAAAAAAAGGAAGTGGTTACTTCTGAAGCATGGGTGAGATGGGAACAGCAACGGGGTGAAGGCAAGAACTCTCCGAGTATCTTTCTTTACACAGTTTTTACTTTTCAATCATGTAAATGACTCACATATTCAAAAACCAAAATTAAGTCAAACACAAACAGAAACAACTGGACACAAATAGAAACAAATGCACAGACCTGAATATAAAACCTAATTACACGGAGGAAATGATTACTTCAAATAACTTTGGCGTATAGGACACTGGCAGTAACATTTTCTAGACACACACTGTAAGGACAAATAAAACTGTGTTTTCTGATTTCTATGGTGTGCATGTTCCTGTAGACTGATTTCAAACCACCAATGGTTTCTCAACCATCTAGCAAGATTCCTGACAAGTTACAGTTGATTCTCATAATCTGGCTCTAAGAAATCACTGCTTATAGGTACTCTAGTTGAGGTAACAACCTGTCAACAAAGCAAACCATAAACCAAAGAAGGATGAAAGAAAATATCTAGAAAAATTATGAAAAGCCTGCATGCAGATTGAAGTGTGACAAACACATAGCTCTAGCTTCTTACCTTCCATGGGCCTCAGGTCTTGGACTGTCTCCTTCATGCAGTCACTAGCTTGTTCCTATGGGCTTCAGTGAAAGTTGTCCCCTCTCTGCAGTTTTCTGCTTCTGGAGGATTCCTCAGAATTCTCCAGTTGAGTTTTCTGGTAGTAATGTCTTCCTGATTCAAGAATGGCTAATTTCTCCTTCATCAAGAAACAGGGATATAGCTGGGCATAGTGGCTCATGCCTGCTTCCCAGAACTTTGGGGCGCTGAGGTGGGAAGATTTCTTGAGGGCTTGAGGGCAGGTGTTTGAGACCAATTTGGGCAACATGATAAGACCCCATCTCTACCAAAAAAAAAAAAATTAGCTGGGTGTGGTGGGGTATGCCTGTAGTCCCAGCTACTTGGAGGCTGAGGTGGATCACTTGAGCCTGGACGTTTGAGGTTACAGTGAGCTATGATTGCACCACTGCACTCCAACCTGGGTGACAGAGACTCTGTCTTAAAAAAACAAAGAAACAAGGATGCAAGGATCAACATCCTAGAGTTCAATTGCTACGGTATTTGTTAATTAGTGCCTGCAATGTCCTTTCCATTGAGGTCAAGGGCAGTCTTTTTCAGATGTGTTCTTCAGCAGATGAAACCCCTACATTTTAAATTGTGAATGATTTCTTGTTATGTTTTTTTTTTAAATGGGGTTTTGCTCTGTCACTCAGGCTGGAGTGCAGAGTGCAATGGCAGGATCATAGCACTCAAACTTCCAGCCTCAAGCGACCCTTCCATCTCAGCCTCCCCAGTTGCTGGGACTACAGGTGCATGCCACCATGCCCTACTAATTTTTTGTGTTTTATAAATTTTTTGCACACACCATGTCTTGCTATGTTGCCCAGGTTGGTCTCGAACTTCCGGCCTCAAGTGGTTCTCCTGATCTAGTCTCTCAAAGTGTTGGGATTATAAGCGTGAGCTACTGTTCCTGGCCTGGGATTGCTTTAAAGGATGTTTTAGAAAAGGTATTCATATTTCTTGATAAAACAAGTATTTGTTGATATGAGTGTATCGATTCTACTTATGTGAAGTACTTAGAGTAGCCAAATTCACAGCGAGTGAAAGTAGATGGTGGTTGCAAGGGGCTGGAGAAGGAGGAAAATGAGGGATTAGTGTTTAATGGGTAGAGTTTCAGTTTTGCAAGATGAAAAAAGGAGATAATGGCACAACACTGTGTGTGTACTTAATGCCACTGGGCCATACACTGAAAGATGGCTAAAATGCTTAATTTTGGGCTGGGTGCAGTGGCTCACACCTGTAATCCCAGCACTTGGGGAGGCCAGGATGGGTGGATCACGAGATCAGGAGTTTGAGACCAGCCTGACCAACATGTTGAAACCCTGTTTCTATGATAAATACAAAAATTAGTTGAGTGTGGGGGTGCGCACCTGCAATCCCAGCTGCTCAGGAGGCTGAGGCAGGAGAACTGCTTGAACCCGGGAAAGCGGAGGTTGCAGTGAGCTGAGATCACGCCATTGTACTTCCAGCCTGGACGACAAAGTGGGACTCTATCTCAAAAAAAAAAAAAAAAGCTAAATTTTGTTATGCCTATTTTACCATAATTTTTACAAAACCAAGTATATCACCCCAGCCATATGCAATATTGGCTATATCAGCTTGTAAGAAGACAGAGTGTATAATGGGAGCAACATTCTCAGGCAGATAAGATGCCTAAGTATCAGTGAACAGGCTGAGAGTCAATGGACTAGGCCAGCCACTGCGGCTCACGCTTGTAACCCCAACAGTTTGGAAGGCCAAGGTAGGAGGATCACTTGAGGCCAGGAGTTTGAGAGTTAGTGGGCTATCTGTGGAGTTGACGTCATTGTCATTAAGAGAAAAGGCAATAGTTTGGGTCAAGGAAGTTCAAGCGTTTCTGAAAGGTTAACTAGAATTTGAGAATTCTATTTGTCCTTTCTATATTACTTGAGGTTTGGGAAATTCTGAATAATAGAAAGAATGATTGCAACTCATTGAGCAAATAAAAAGCAGAGGCCACAGTGGTGTATGTGTGTGTGTGTGTGTGTGTGTGACAGAGAGAGAGAGATGGGAGAGTTTAAAAAAAAAGGAAATTTTTTCTTACAGGATGTTAGCTAATGTACATAGAAGAAATGATAGAATTAGGGTTGGGTGTGGTGCCTCATGCCTATAATTCCAGCACTTTGGGAGGCCGAGGTAGATGGATTACGTGAGGTCAGGCGTTCAAGACCAGCCTGGCCAACATGGGGAAACCCTGCCTCAACCAAAAATACAAAAATTAGCCAGGCGTGGTGGCATACACTATAATCCCAGCTACTCAGGAGGCTGAGACAGCAGAATCACTTGAACGTGGAGGCAGAGGTTGCAGTGAGCTAGGATCACGCCACTGCACTCTAGCCTGTGTGACAAGAGTAAAACTGCCTCAAAAAAAAAAAAAAAAAAAAAGAAAGAAAGAATGAATGAATGAACAGGGATAAAAACACAAGTGTTGGCTGGGTGTGATAGCTCACGCCTGTAATCCCAGCACTTTGGGAGGCCGAGGTGGGCAGATCACCTGAGGTCAGGTGTTCAAGACCAGCCTGGCTAAGATAGTGAAACCCCATCTCTGCTAAAAATACAAAAATAAACTGGGCATGGTGGTGTGCACCTGTTGTCCCAGCTACTCTGGAGGCTGAGGCAGGAGAATTGCTTGAACCCGGGAGGCAGAGGTTGCAGTGAGCCAAGATCATGCCATTGCACTCCGGCCTGGGCAGCAGAGTGAGACCTGGTTTCAAAAAAAAAAAAAAAAAACACAAAAACCCACATGTGTCTACATCAGAGTAAACCATGGGACGTGGCAAAGTGAGCTGCCCTTATCCAGTGTAAATGCTATCTAAATAGTTATTATACTGTATCCCTGTATTGTTGAGCATCCCTGTATTGTTAAATCTTTTGATTTCTCATGAGAAGTAGAAAACTTAAAATTTCATGTGAAAGCTGCCATATTTTGGATATACATGCAGTTAACTAATTCAAATTCACACACATACACGCACACACACACAGCATAGCATTGTGCTACATACGGCCCCCCTTTTGCCTCAGTGTGATCATGGCCTCTTAGATAAAAACCCCATACTCTTTAGAACAGTATTCACTTTCTTCAGGTCCTGGCCCTTGCCTCTTCTGGAAGACTTGTCTCTAATACTTTCTCCACTCAGGTGGTACCATTTGTAACTTGGGAATGCATGTGGCTAGCTTCATGCCTTGCTATTATGACATGTGGTATTCTCTCTCCTTTACCCAGAATGTCTATTTATCTAACTTTTGTTTGTTTGCTTACTTGCTTTGAAACAATCTCTCACTCCTTTGCCAGGGCAGAAGGGCTGTGATGCGGTCATAGTTCATGGCAGTCCCTAGCTACTGGGCTCAAGTGATCCTCTTCTCAGCCTCTCAAGTAGCCGGGACTACAGGTGCATACCATCATGCTTGGCTAAATTTTTTACTTCTTATTTTTATTTTTCGTAGAGACGGGGGGTCTCCTTTTGTTACCAGGTCTGGTCTAGAACTTTTGAGTTCATGGGATCCTCCCACCTTGACCTCCCAAAATACTGGGATTACAGGTGTGAGCCATCTCACCTGGCCTATCTAGCTTTTGACTCCTTTAAAGATCCAACACAAGCATCTCCTATTCTATAAAAGTCTTCCCTGACTCATAGGTACATATTGATTACTTTATCTATTTTGTTGCTGCTACACAGCACAATTAAATTGTGTTAATATTGTGATTGAAATATGCAGAGAGCCGGGCGCGGTGGCTCAAGCCTGTAATCCCAGCACTTTGGGAGGCCGAGGCGGGTGGATCACGAGGTCAAGAGATCGAGACCATCCTTGTCAACATGGTGAAACCCCGTCTCTACTAAAAA